GCAATGTCCTAATTTCATTTTGTAACGCGCTTTACTATCCTTACACTAAATATTTTCTATATATCCAGGCAAAAAACCTTTTTTTGACCTAGAAAGCGCTGACTTTATGTTACTAGCCATATTAACATATAAAGCGTGCACAAGTGCTTGTCCTCCAGATGCTCCCCCAGCAACAGTTGCTAAGCGTGCGTGACGTCACTGCAAAGGGTCTATTCCTGTCCTTTACCGACAAAAGGATTACGTGTTTAATCTGTCTCTGTTTTAAGTGTCGTCTCTAAAAATAGGGATAACATTGACCTTTTGTAACATTATAAATATAGCATGATTTGGAGGTTCTCATTTAGCAGACGTTGACACCTGACGAGTAGTCTGCCGAAATGCATAGTGTCTCTTTCTAGCTGTAAATAACGGTTCCTTTGAGTTGTTGGGTTAGTGTTCTGGTTAAAACAGTTCTTTTAAGAACTATTACATTGTTATTATTACCATTCACCATGGTATTTGCTATTTTGAAATCCATATATATAAATCCGTATATATATATATATATATACAAAATATACAAAAATATACAAAAAAATGTTTTAAATAATTTGGATTTAACTAAAATTTAGAACATAATGGCATCTACCAATGTTGCTCATGACTGTTTTTAACAGCCATGAGCATTATTGGTAGATATTGTGCAATTAATTACCAATGAAACTGGAATGCCTGCTAAATGTGACCGGCCTTTAAAGTATATTCCAATACCATCAAATAAAGAAACGTTGTGAGATTTCTTAGCTACTGTTTCATGACCAACATTTCTTGGATTTGGTAATTCTTTCTTAAGATTTCTTAACTAGGGTGATTTTTTGGCAATGGTTTTCATGACCAAGATGTCTTAGTTTCGTGTTTCATAATTTGTCTTGCAAATGCTTATGATTTGCCTTGCATTTTAAAATCAATTGAGTTTTAGAGCATTGTACTGGGGACTAGAGTTCAGAGCAAAATAGAATATATCTCCAAGAAATTATCTGGTTGAAGCTAAAAAACGGTTTACAAGGTTTGTACGGTTCATGATTGTTATGGACACAAAAGTCTAACCCGTAAATGTGCTTTATTGTAAATAAATACTGACAATTGAAGCATATGACAGAAAAAAATTTGACGAATATTGTACCAGTGTTTAGCAGGAAGCCATTCACTCGAATTTTTGGGCAGCGAAAACAGGATTCTACTGGCATCTACAGTGTGCACGTGCGCACAATTGCAATTATATTGAGGTGTTATATATGACACCACAACAACACCTCTTTATAACGTAGGCAAATTTCTATCACAACTTCTTAACGCTTGATAAACACACAACAGCAGATTCATTTTACGCAGTCTTCACCAGCAACGGATCCAGCAGGGTTAGGCAGAATATATTATAACTACTAATTTTAAATTTCAAGTAAGTTCGTGTAATAGTAATTGGTTACAAATTTCAAAAGAATAAGGATTAACCAATTAGTAAAATGAAGTAATTTATTTTGCCTATATCCGAATCTGCCCCTGGTCTCCACCATAAATTCCATGCCTACTGAATTATTCTATCAAGGTTATAATTTTGTTTCGTTTAACGTAGAATCTTTTTTTACAAATGTGCCTCTTAAACGAATTATTTAAATTATACTTAAGCGCGTCTTCAACGAGAAACTCGTGAAGACAACACTAACAAAACGGACTTTAAAGAAATTGCTTATGAAATTGCTCAAAGTTGAGAGAAAAATACAGAAGAAATACTAAAAAAATGATCACTTTGGGCCACCCCCAAGACTTAGGCAAGGGGAATCCTTAGTTAAATCACTAATAAGAAAAGTACAACGTAATTTAAAAGAGCCAGTGAAATTTATAGTAATATACAAATAAAAAAATATCATATTTCCTTCCCAAGAAAGACAAAATGCCAACTCTGGACCGCAGCAATTTATTGTATGTATATACTTGTCCAGGCTGTTTCTAATCATACATAGGTAAAACTAACAGAACCCTTCTAACTAGACTTAATTAAAACGCAAATCTGACCGCAACAAAAGCGCCATTTATGACCATCTAACAAACTGCCGTGACGCGCAACACATAACTGACATTTTCAACTTTTATGACACAATTAATGGCATAAATCCAACACATTTCTTTTCAAGCCATTTCGCACAATGTGTACGAAGTGCTGGTTCACTGTTCTCAAACTTCACTCAAACTATGGGACTGTATTTTGACGATTATATTTAACACTTCGAGAGGATATTTACTGTGGTTATGCACGATTTTTACGTTACGGATTCCAAACGTTGGTTCTTCGCGATACGGAATATTTAAATTGTATCGTTAGGATTGTGGACAACCGTCAATCCTTAAACTGCGTTTTCGAACTTTATTGCCTACTGCAATACGACTCTAATTTATCAAATTTGTATGACCAGTTCATACACCAATAACGTCAATTTTCAGAACTCCCGAACCAACGCTTGCAAGCTATATTTATGTATAATTTTTTGGAAGTGGTTTTAGGCGTTTACATGACTTGCAACTTTGCCATTCCGTTTCTACCTACATCCTACCGCAATGACGCATTGCGGTGATGAAGTGTTCTCTTAACATGACTATAGTATTTTACATCAGTTTAATAATATCAGTTATATCTTATAATCTGTAATAAGACACAGTCACTAGCTACATAATTTGACATGACAATTTACAACACCATGATCTCATTCTTAATAACACTAACACTTTACATTGTTTTGATCATAACAATTGTAATGTTTTGCTTTTCCTTGAGGCGATTTATATTTGTTTCAATAAGCATCGGCTGATTCCTTGTCTGAAGTCTTCTATAGAACTTGTTTTTTCCCCTTAATTTCACTGATGTAATTGTAGGCAGTAACGCCTCCATTCCTAATCCCTAATTGCAAATAGTAACATTTTCTAATCGTCTTTATTTTATTGCTTATCTCATTTCCTTGTAACTTGCTTCTTACACAATGCTTTATTGATAAATAGCCAGAAATAAAAAACGTTTTCAATCGGTTTAAAGTATACTATATTTCCGCTAGAGTTACTTCCAAAAACAACTCAGGTTGCTGGTAACCAGTTTGATAGTGCACCAATGTTCTTTTGCGAATCATTTGTAAGATCTAGGTAATGCAATTAGTACTTTTTCTTTGTTTCTTGCTACCAGTTGCTAATAAAATACGAAAACTAGATAACCCTGCAAACTAGACATTCTTAAAATCTACTCTAGAAGTAAATGATAAAACATACTCCAAAAAACATCATCTTGTAAACTCAAGATTCGAGTTATAACAGCAAGAGACAAGATATAAGGCAATATTTCGATATAAGGCAATAAAAGGCTATAAAGCTTTGATTTGTTAATGGCAGAAAGGACTTTCTTGCAGCGTAGCAACGACAGTGGAGTGTTAGCTGAACCTACTACACATAGGGACTGTTCAACAATTCGCCTGATGTCGTCGGTGTGTACAGGTGTATTATGTTCTAGGATATCTGGTAAGGGGCATAATGGGCCTGTGGCGTTTAGCATCGCACGCTGAATAACTGAGAGCTCCTTATCTACTTTCTGCACTAACTTCCTATCTTGTTAGGGAGTGTGAAACAACTTTTGAGGATCTAGTGCGGCAGCAGTGAGTGCATCTACTTGAGGGATGGTTTGCTCTTCTAAAATGTCACACACGTTATCAAAGGATATTTTCCTTCAAAAGTTTTTCTCTGAGAACTCATTAAACTCCTGAGAGATTGACCACGAGCTTGTAACGTTTCCGAGTCGTACAGAGCAGATTGAGCGTTACTAGATTTGTTTTGGCTGTTCTGTTCTCACGAATGTCGTCTTTAGTATTCAACTGAGTGTGTTCAGCAGCATTGGGGGCTTAATAGCCTGATTTAGTGGCTCAATAGCCTGTTCTGGTGCCTCAATAGCCTGTTTTGGTAAATCTATAGCTTGCTCATGTTACTCAGTAGCCAAGGGATCAAAAATGAGGTCGACGTTTCTCTCCGAAACTGAAAAAGAGTCCTCATCATGTTTTCCACACTGCGAATATAACGTAGTTTCGTTAATAAAGGAATCTTCAAGCTTGGTAAGCCTTTTATCGCAAGCTTCTACATTAGATATTAGTTCACCAACAGTTGATGAGATGGTACGAAGCTGAAGTGTAAAAACAATGAAAAAGAAAACACAGAAAAGCAGTGTGAAATGCGAAATATTTACGTAAAAAATCTTACCTGTCTGTGTGTGAAGCACAAGGCGAAAAAGCCACATGAGACTTATGGGTCGGGTAAGATCAGGGGATTGCGGTATTGTTTTGTCTCAGTGGTCGTAAGACATAAGTGTTTAAAACGTGATGTGAAGCATAGATTGGTTGACCAAACCCCTTGTATTATCATATATTTCGACCGGAGTTCCCAGAACTAACCCTAGCACAAATTTTAAATTGTTTAAATTGTCTTCATGCACCTGACGATACTCATCCATTTGGGTGCCCGAAACAGTTGATTTTTTTTGTTCCTATGAAGCCACCATTGGCAACTGTGAACATGTGCGAATGTCTCTCCCAGAAAATTTTCTTTTTTATGTTGAGCTAAACAGTAAATTTTTTATTTGAGCCTTATTCCGTTACGCTTCTCCTGTAAGAATTACGTTAAACATAAATTCTACATTTGTATTTTTGAAAGCCTTTTCAACATTTTTGATATGTAGCTCAAGTTCTCAAAAAATACAGGTTGTGCAATTTTAGATAAAATTATCAGGCTTGCAAGATGAGTACAACTTATGACTTCACAAATTACTTTTTGTCATGGATTGTGTGAACTTTGCGTGAATAATCAATATGTTGCAGTGAAGTAAGGCAACATTTACATCCCAGAAGATGGTGAAATATGCATAACAATTATTCTTTCATGTAATTAAATTTTATCCCTTATCACTAAGAGTTAATTTTTTTTTCAAACAATTTTAGGGGATAGTAACAGCATTGCTGAAAGATATTCTTGATCCTGACAAAATATTGAATTATGTTGATTGCCATGCTAAAAAAAGAGACTGTAATGAAGGTGGAAAAATAAGGTAGGATGAATCAATACTGTTATGGTTGCAAACTCAAGACAAAAATTCCGTTGATGCTTTGAACTAGTTGACAAGATTGTAAACTTAATCACTAATCTATCTTGAGCAAGATTACGTATGTTATGTCTTTGTACGAACAATAATGGTGATCCAGGATTGTTAAAACTTTAGGAAGAGCGTGGTTGAACATATTTTAATAAATAGGCGTCTTATTATCTAAAATTGCGCTGAGACAACTTTGCAAATATGATAAACTACAAAGGCTTTTTTACCATATATGTAGAAAGCATCTCCTCCACGACTGTGAAAATGCAATTCTGACATGGATAGCTTTACTCTAATTATAATCCTTACAGTTGTATGCAAAAGTTTGAGTACCCTGATGGAACGTCGTCACAATTGTGCTTAACTCAGGTCAGACATTTGTTGACATGAATGCATGACATACACAATTATCATAAAAGCAATAGAGTTGTTAATTTACTAAACAAACACATTCATTTTCTTGACAAAGTAACACGCGGTATGCATACTTTTTTTGGAGCCCTGCAAATATTTAGACACTCATAAAAGTATGTGAAGCATGCTGTGATCAATATTTAGTGACTCTCCTTTGGAAGATACAACAGCCTCAAGCGTTTTGAATAACTAGACAGTAGTTTCTCTCCGATGGAATTTTCGCCCATTCGTCAGTGGAGAATGTCCTCAGCTAATCAAGATTATATGGATTTCGTGCATTAACTACAGTCTTGAGGTCATTCCATATATTTTCAATAAATTTCAGGTCTGGAGGCTACGATGGTAAATCCAGAACTCCAAATCTTTGTCGTTTGAAATATTCTCTAGTTGAATTTGAATATTGTTTAGCATCATTATCCTGATGGGACAGCCAGCCTCTGCACAGTTTGAGCTTTCTGAATGATTCCCTGATACTATCGTGCAAAATCTTTTGATACTGAATCGAATCCATTCTCCCATCAACTTTGACAAAGTTTCCAATGCCAGTGCCAGCTTCAAGGCCCTACAACATCAGGGGCGGATCTAGGATTTTTCAAATATCAGTCATAAAATGTCGGAGGCGCTGCGTACCTTGGGGTCGAAGGCATTTTCCCCTGAAAAATTTTGAATTTCAGAGGATTCTCCCCTGAAAAATTTTGAAAATGCCATTTTCACCGTTTTAGAGCAATACAAAATGTATTTTTTTGGCATGGTTTTTGCGTAAAAACATCATATTTTGCTTACGTTTTTTTCAAAAAAATGAGGTGAACAATACTTGAATTTTTTGCCAAATATTTAGGCTCATTATCATGCCAAATAAATGGCTCATTAGCATGTCTAGGAACGTAAAGTTATTTTACAATAATGCTATTCAAAAACAGATATAGTCTTTAAAAATTTCTACCAAGTTGTCAGGCATAGATCCTCCTAGCGATCCCCATTCAAACCTCTATGTAATGAGTTAAGTTAGAAATTTGGTACTACAAGTGACAGTTCATAGATATAGAAAAGCTCAGACTTCAAACCATGCAAGTTTATTGTAACCCTTTACCCATCTCCACATCAGTGCCAGCAAATTCACCTTTTGAGAAAAAACTCAAAATTTTTTTCTGCCAAAGATTAAGCAAAAATTATCACAGTGAAAATTTGCAATTAAGGACAGCTTAATGCCATCAATGTTTTTTAGACATTTTACTAGACTATTATCTTCAGCAATCACTAGTAGCATTGTATTTGCAAATACAAACAGAATGTAACCAACATGTCTTTCATTATATAACTACATGAATGTTGAACTTGGTTCATGTGTCATGCTTGCTGGTTGTGATAAATATCTTTTCATGTGATCAAAGCTCTTTTAAATGTAAATCTGAAATAATTTAGTTTAGAAATTATAATGATCATCAGAAAAATTACCTAGTGATCATGAAAAATACTTTGCTGTTTTGCCAAATTTCAAGATTTATCTGCATACATAGGAAGACATTTTTACTTTATAGAAAATGCTTTTCATACATCAATGGCCCTTTGGAATTTATGGCAAACAATCTGGTATGAGCTGTAGATTAACACACCTTTACATCTCTACATGAGGTGTTCAGTTAGAAAAGGGAATACTATACATGTATGTGAAATACTTAGGTTTAATACCATTCCAGTCAAATTGTCAAAATAAAAAGCTTCATGGATCAGAAGACTCAAAATCACAGGTTATAGTAAACAGCTTCTCATGTAATCAATGTTAGTTTTCTCAAATCTTAAACAATATGTAGTATAACTGTCCAATGATTGAATGATCATTTATCATAAACTGAAAATCCCCAAACATGTTTATGATAAAGTAAATAATAGCATGGCGCCTTATGGCTACAGATTTTTTGTACATTTTAATATATTTGCAGGAATGTAGGATTTTGCTGCCATATAACAGCCACGACTCTCAAGCACAAAGAAATCATAGCTAAAAGTCCTTTGGCAACAACAATTTTAGAAGCATCAACCTGCTTACCATACGCCATATTGACATAAATCGCATCACACACTCGCATAAATTGACTTTGATATATTACATTCATGCATAAACTTCACTTGTCCTTTACTTACGACTTTGGATGTAAATTTCTGCTGATAAAACTCAAAACAATGTTGGCTTTCTTTTGAACATCAATGACTGAAATGTCGCTCGCGAGATCGTCTTTGCCAAGCATTTACAATTTATCCATAAATTTTTCACCCTCTTGAAAAAATTCACAGTTTGGACAGCAGCATTCATGTCAATATATGAATTTGTAAAAGATTTCCATAAATTCCATCTGATTGCAGTTTAGTTTCTATCATGCTTATAAAAATTACTATGAAACGATCAAACATTCAATTCTGACAGTGAGCTTGACTATGTTAGTTTAGTTGGCTATCAGTCGAAATCCGTCAAACCAATCACAATAAAACAAAAATTCAAATGAACCAATTGTAAGATAGCAATTGGACTCCCTTGTAGGTCTGGCCACCCCTCTCATCGGTAGAGACCATTCCAGACTGTCCACTGATCTGGCCATTGACCAACAAAATAAGCGTTTTTGGCGTTCATATACTCCTTTATCAGTCGAACCAGTCAAGCCACCCCGCTTATCAGTCGGTTATTCCAGGTCAATTAAAATTCAACTGATCTGGTTACCAACGAGATATTCATTGGATTAGTAACTAGTTTTCAATAATAAATAAAGCTGGATTTTTATCACGAAGTAAATGCGATAATAAAGTAAGAATAATTAATGAATTTTTAAATTAAAATGAATAGGTTATTTTTGAATTTTAAACATCAGTCGCGCGACGGATTTGACATACTCTAGATCCGCCCTGACAGTATCTTGTCATCAGCACCATCACTACGGAGTCACATGAGATGCGCATGCGTGCATTATCAATCAGTGCTGGCATCTTTGCCAACAGGTCAACTAGGTAACGATAAATTTTTAATTACTAGGAGTTACTATCGCAAGGGAAGTGCTGCCCCTCCACCAAGTAAGGTAAAAGAGTTTGGAAACTGCTATTGCGTGTTTTCCATCATTTATCATCTGCCATAAACAATACAATAATGAATGGTAAAAATAAAAATACAGCAAGAAACCGCAACAACTCGTATACTTTGTCATTGCATAAAGACAAGCTAATTGTGTCATCTTTTATTTTCAAATTGTCATATAAATCAATTTATAGAAGTAGATGCAAGAAGTAACACTGTATGTATGTATAATTATGCTAATTTCAAAATGGAATAATTGGATGAACAGTTTTCAAAGCTCATTTTACAAAAATTTGCATATTGTCATTTAGAACTCGGCCAATAACAATTAAATCATGTTAACCGGAGCTTAAATGAAATTTTCAGAATTTCATTCACTTGGTTGCCAACAGCACAAGATCAACACATCCATCAATACAAATCGTTATATGGTGTCATATATGTATCTCTTAAGTCTCCCTGTGCTTCTTTGTTAGTATATCATATGTTTTCACCTGGATTCATGTTACTCAGTTGTTTTAGCGAGGAATCACTTTTATACACATACAAACTTGAATGGTACAGTCATTGCAGTCATTATTCATAGCATGGTTTACTCGCCATGTTTAATCATGATCGTGACTAAAACACCTCACGAGTACACACGAGTACATACGAGTACATACGAGTAACATATGAGTACATACGAGTAACATACGAGTACATACGAGTAACATACAAGTATATACGAGTAACATACGAGTGACATACGACTATTTTCTGGTCAACAAATGAGAAACAACACAATTTCTTCAATACATTGATATTTGCGTTTATTTTTCCTTGTATTTGTGTGGACTTTGGGGCAACCATTTGATGGATTTAAATGCTGAAAAGGTATTTTACATTCATACTACATTCATTTGTATGTTTTAGTTGAATTTGTTATAGATATTTTGTCGATGCGATTTGCCAGTATTTGAGCGCTTTTTGAAGCACTTTCACCTAGGAAATACATATTTATGAAAGCGATTATACATTCATTTTGACTCTGAAGATGACTACCGCTAAGGTTGTCGAAACGTCAGTCAACAACAACAAAAACAGTCTCAGGACTATACGTAACAGTGCAACTCTCATTTAATTGAAATATATATAATGTACATTTATTTCATGTAGCACGTTTTGAAAGCATTATTTATACGTTGTTTATTTAATCGCTTTCATAAGTATGTATTTCCTAGGTGAAAGTGTTTCAAAAAGCGCTCAAATACTGGCAAATCGCATCGACAAAATATCTATAACAAATTCAACTAAAACATACAAATGAATGTAGTATAAAAGTAAAATACCTTTTCAGCATTTAAATCCATCAAATGGTTGCCCCAAAGTCCACACAAATACAAGGAAAAATAAACGCAAATATCAACGTATTGAAGAAATTGTGTTGTTTCTCATTTGTTGACCAGAAAATAGTCGTATGTCACTCGTATGTACTCGTATGTTACTCGTATGTACTCGTATATTACTCGTATGTACTCGTATGTACTCGTGTGGTGTTTTAGTCACGATCGTTTAATCATAGCATTCCAATTTCTATCCAATCGGCATGCACAAACGACGCACAGTTCACCTTATATGGAGGTGAGTGCTTCAATGCTCAATCGATTCTCGTCAGTCATACGTTTTCATCATAAAATTAAAAGATAAATTCCTTGCCATTTTGAATGAAAAAATTTTTTTGATTCTTTTAAATGTCTTGATTGTTTTGATTCTTTTGAGTTTTAAAATGCTTTTGATTAAAAGTATGATACGTTGTTTACTCAACCGAACAATCGTCCGCATGTTTACAAACGTAGAAACGGACTATATTATAAAACTGTAGTTTTGTTTCCATTATTTCCTTTATAACATTTTGATAGAACCTTTTTTCCGATGATTCTGTGCGACTGCGATAAAATGATGTATAGTTATCGCAAAGAGCAAATGTTTCATCATATTCATAATTCATATTTCATGGTTGAACTCGCACCATGCGTTTAAATTATTTTTGACGTTTTGTTAAATCCACACCGATATTTCAAGTAATAATAAAAGCTCAAACGAAAATAAATACATGCTTACACTATATTTTGCTCACCGTCTGACCATAGAGCGCAAGATAAAAAATGTGAACCGAGCTGGCTAAATACGGCACGGTGAATCGATTTCATGTGTTTTTCGCCAAACGAGATATGTGTAATTGATGTCGGTAATCACTCGATTTTGGTATCTACTGTATAACGTTGTTTAGGCCGCATATGTATTCGGATTCCAGACATTTAAAATCAAAGAGAAACTGACAGGAGTTCCGAAAGGTTCTACCTTATTGTGATTGTTCTTCCCCCCTCATTCCGTAAAAATCCCCCCCGGAAATGTTAACAGACAGACAGACAGACAGACACAAATCGAGATTTTACCTCTATATAGGTCGAGTAGAGGAATGGGCCGAGACATGTCAAGATTAGTGTGCTGCCACGCATCAGCGTGGCAGCAAAAATCCATCGCAATCCTCCTTATATTTTACATTTCAGGTGGTTTTCTGATCGGAATTAGCAAGCTACTTTATTTACTAACATAGTTAGATAGTTTTGGGCAAAATAGGACGCATAAAAACACGGAAAATTTACTGAATAATGACGGAGAGGATAAACATACAGCTGGGTCACCGACCTTTAACAATTAAACTCGCAATCAGAATATTAAAACTGATACATTAATAAGTACACAACAAAGCATAGGCCATGCAGGTAGCGACTCGTTTTTGTGTAAAAATATGCCTTCGAGATTACTATGCGATGAGCACCCATCGGATGAGAATCATCTCAAGCAGGGAGTTCGCGAGTAAGTGTCTATGAACAAAAGGACGTTGACATGCCTGAAAGTCAGATTGATACAACCAAAACATCGCCGTTTAGCGGATCAACTCAGCTTTTATCCGAATGAGCATGAAAAAGATGTAGAAATGCCTACCGGCAGGGTCGTATTAACTCATATTAAACACGCTTTTCTCTCTAAGGGGCTCATTACATTAGTCCGGCTAGCCGGATTCAGCGAAGCGTGAAATGATTTTGGCAAATGGAAACGGTTCAATGTTTGCCATCAGATAAATCTTCTTGAGAAATTTACAATATTTTGACCTTATAAATACGCAAACATTTAAAATGAAAACAACCGATTTGGCCTAATTTCACCGTAACAACAGGAATGAGTTTCGGGACTTTACGAGTAGTTGTATTTTCCGCTTGAAATTTTTACTCTTTTTAATGCTAAAAATCCTTTCATGCCTCACTGAATCTCGATTAGCCGGGATCATGTAAACAGTACCTAACCGGGATTCAGCGAGGCGTAAAATCATTTCGAGGCATTGAAAAAAGACCCAAACTTCAAGCGAAAAATTACAACTGTTTGTTAAGCGCCACAAGTAATTCTTGCTGTAATTCTCAAATAAGGCCAAATTTGTTGTTTAATTTTAAATATTTTGCGTAGTTATTAAACCATAATTTGTGAAATTGGTCTAGAAGATTTATCTGATGATAAGTATTAAATTTTTTCCATTTGCGAAAATCATTTGACGCTTGACTGAATCCCGGCTACCTGGGCTCATGTGATCAGCCCCTAAGTTAGCAGATATTCTTGAAAAAAAAATCAAGCTACTGGAGCACCAGTCATACAACAGTTGGCATATATCACTGATAATCGATTAGGAAATCATTTGCCCTCTGAAAAATTCAAGTATCTCACAAAGCCACTTGTTACCACAAAAAATAATGTGGCCAGTAAGGTACTTGCATCTCGGTTTGTTAACTTCATTGCAATGCTAGATCATATGAGCAGTGATCGATCAACCAGCATTGCAATTGAGTTAACCAGTTACCTGCCTTTATCGAGAGAGTTTTCCATCATTCGTACGAAGGAAATACAATGGCCCTCTTATTTGGTTGAGATCAAAAAAGGGTTTTGTTAGGCAAGGTAGTTCTGTAGTAGACCCTCTAAGAAAACGTTTTGGCAGTTACAGAACAAAACCGTAGCAGTATAAAAAGGCAATTTATTCGCCTAGTGACAACAACCGTTATTCTAAAGGCTACCCAAACAACAAACGACAAAGACAGCCACCGGTATCCGCAACAAGATCATAAGTGGCCTTCAAGAAGTGAAAAACAATGTAAAATCTTTATTTTGTTTATCTCGGTTTTGACACAATACGTACAAACTGGGTTTGAAATGCCTGTAGGCGGCCTAAAATCACATTATTAGTCTGAATGGGCCAAGCTATCCAGTAAAAACACCTAATAGCTGATACCACAGGAATTAAAATTGAAATTAGTCGAATAGCCTTTTAGCAGTGCTTAAAACACTCCCAACAGGTCAGCTATAAAACGGAACTTATAGACCCTGAAATTCTAACTTTATAAAATTAACGTATAATTGAGGCGATTGAACCTAAATCACATCATATACTTTGACATTATATATCATATATCATATAGCACGACTATTTACATCTGTCCAGATATGCCACTCTACAAAAAGTTGATCACTGGCTAGAGATTGTGTATATTGGCCGGGTATACTACAGCAAGTAAGGACAGGTATACAGTCTTGCTCAATCTGCAATACTTCCCTCAATCGTCAACAAAAGGAGTCCTTTCTTCCACATGCAATTCCAGATTTACATTGGCAAGTGGCAACATGTGGGTACTGACACTTTCAATTTCAAAATCAACATTACCTGACAGTAGTTCATTTCTATTCGAAATATTTCGAAATAGAGTTATTGTGACAGAGTACTACATCGTATGTGATTGACAATTTGAACAAAAATTTTTGCCAGATTTGGGATACCTGAGGAAGTCATTAGTGACAATGGCTACCAACACGCCAATACCACAAATGTGTTTAGTGTATCTCACGAGTTTAAAAAGTTTGCAAAGGAATGGAGATTTCGATATGTAACCAGTTCACCGGAATATCCACTGTTAAATGGGACGGCGGAAAGAGCTGCAGAGACGGCAAAGCAAATTTTATGAAATCAAGTATAGATAATAATAACGTGGGAGCATTTGTAGGTGAATATGATAACCAGGTGATTGTGCACTACGATAGGCTAGTGCACCATCAAACATTATGAATCACATCATCATTGTTCAAATCTTTACAACAACTATTTAAAAAATCGGATAACTTGTTACGATCCATTCACCTACATATATTGAATGATGTACGGTATATAGAATACCCCTTTGCTATTTTTGGCCACATTCACATGGTTCTAAACGGTGTACAGCATATTAAACCCAATATTGTGATCACCCGATTGTGGCTGACCGGAGTTGGTCACTAAACTGCTTATATTCGTATCCCTTCGTAACTTCACCGACCTTAATCACTCCTGATAGTGTGTTAGGGCATATTTTCTACTATTCGAATGAACTTCATGGTTTTATCAAACGTCTTCTAGCTTCTCACAAGCTTTCTAACTCGGCGAATAATGCTAGAGAGGAAAAATTGCTTTGAGAACCGTGCGACTATTTCTAAAGGGCTATTAATTGTCAAACAAACGGGGAATTGTGTTGATGATAGCATCAATTAAATCAATCAGATATAAGCTCATCTATGTAAACTTATGAAGCCACCATTTTCTAAGCGCCAGAGTGAGTATTGTCATCTCAGAATTTCTCAATATACTACCTCGATGTATTTCTTAGTATGTTGGTACCGGAAAAATTGAATAATGTATAAATTGATATATGTATAATATGTATATTACACATAACTGTGGGTATATACACAGCTAATCTATATGTTATTTGTTTCAAGGTAGTCCATTCTTTTAGAAATAAAAAGTCTGCTAATAATTTCTCCACATTATCGAGCGTGTATTTATTTATACAGTTTGTGCTTGTGACATTTGTTACTGACTCATCTATGATGGTGTGTTGTCATTGGTGTTGTCACAAAAATTCTTTATTAAAATTATAAACCACTTTCTTCATATATAACTTACTTGATATATTGCTAGGTAAAAATATAAGACATTGACATCAATATTATAATACTTGTCAAAAAATACGACTTGTTCTCGAATATAAACATAGCTCACGCAAACCATGGCAAGAAGAATACTTTATGTTAGACTTTATAAAAATAGCTGACAATAAATGGCGGATGTCCCAACAAATTTAAAAACTTCAGCCGAGATTATAGTAGATATTTTGCAGATAGGAAAAGTTATAATTCGAGAGGTATTGATGCGCAATATTGTCGTACACAAAGTTGTGGCTAAAAAGTTACGAAATAGATGCGAATACTGCGTTAGCGCTTTCGCAACTGCTTCGAGGCAGCTACCATTGGAGGCTGAAAATCAACTTGCTGATGATTTTCTTCTGGCAATTATCAATTTTTAAAGAATGATTGCACAAGTAGAAGAACGTTTTAACAACTATGAGATAGATCGATTACATTTTGTGTGTCCACTTGATGGTGAAGGACAACGGTGTAGATCAAAATTTGTAATACCGAGAGCAGAGCTGGAGGGATTGCGATCACTAGGTTTCTCTGGACTACTATTTCTTAAATGCTAGGCGTTTGCGAAAGAAAAATAAGGCAAAGTAAAGAAAAATTTTGTATACCAAATGTTCGTGAAGATTTTTCGCAAATAAACGATGACCAGATTGACCATCACATAGAACATATTATGCGTATGTTTCCTAAGTCTGGTAATATAATGATAATTGGCTGGTTTAGAAGTGAAGTGTTGTATGTTCAACGCTTGCGATTAAGAAATTCTATGTTTCGTGCTGACCCTATTGTTCGTGAAATTAGAAAATGAACCATAACCAGAAGAAGGGTGTACTCAATACCAACACCAAATGCTCTTTGGTAGGTATTATTAGGTTTTCATTGAACCAATCATATTATACATTACAATGGTGAGTTTTAACTGTGATTTGTCTTGATATATTGTGTAACTATGTTAGGCATTTTCCTTTTTCTCAGCATTTTGGCATTTTTCTGTTATATTTGTCTGGAAAGCACTCCCGACGACAAATCAGGAGGGAAATGTTTGACAGAGTGCACCAATTCAAACTGGTAAAAATCAACATTTCTCATATTAATCTAGCAAAAAAAATTTCGGATTGGAGTAATGCCATACCAGCTCACATGATGTTTCTTTTGTGACACATTATTATAAGCTTCATCACACAATCTCATACCAAAACCTTTTTTAATGTTGTTTTAACATGCCTAATTTTAGCTTTTATTAAGGGAATGTGTGTGTTATTTTTGTATATCAACCACTAGGCTAGAGTTCTTTGTAGTAGAGCTACCTTCCTTTGGACTTTGCTGCTAGTCTTATTTTAGATTAAGTTGGGAGATATGTATTGCATATGGCATGAATTCTCTGTCGACTAGCATAAGTATACTCAGGGAAAATTATGGATGTAAAACAACCAGGTTAAACATTTAAACAACATAAAAAACAAGCATACTACAACGTAAGTCACTATAATTTATATTTTAAAGGTACCTTGATGGGCACTACAAACTAATTAAATGGCGCATCGTTATTCTTGGTGGAATAAATGGGTACTATTGGCAAATTTTATTTATTTAAAAGCATCAGATAATAACAAAGCATCGACAGTGCTACAGCTGTTCAACTCTGCCACCCAGATCTTTGAGCTGGTCCTCAAGGCAAAATGCAAAAGGCCATCAATTCTCCAGCATACACAATTTCACTTGATATTAATGCCATAGTGGCAACCACAAGCTTGCCATCAGCGAAAAGTTTGATTTTCATTTGAATGAAGCATTCTGCAAAAATGATATAATGCTTAGTTTAACGGGGATAGTTAGAAGGAGCAAATTTTTATTCATTCACTTAAATGTCACAATTCATGGAACAATGCAAATCCAAATGAGTTCATCATCGGGGTTAAAAAGTGAAAAGTTGGCATGTAATAGCACACTATATTTTGTTAGTTTCATAGCGCATGCAGTGCTGAAAATGCTTCATGTAATTGGCCCCTCAGTTCATGTCTTTTTAACATTCATTTAGGAGAAGCAATAAAAAACTTACCAGTGAAAAACTCAGATAGTGGCCCACCATCATCAACTGCCGTCTCCTCAATAAATACCACTTTCCACTTATTCTCAAGCTTGAACCACTTGAACTATATTTATTAAGGAATTTTTAGTTTTTCATGAAACACTTCAGGACTATCATTGTCATCAAGCTCACTATTAACTTCGGCAGCTTCAGGAAAATCATTTGCAGATCCACCATTTTTAGTAAAACGATTTATTTCAGAAGAGCCCATCATCATCAAATCATCATAAACTCTTCTGGGAGATATCACTTGCATTGAAAGTTCAGCACATATATTAGAATGTGTCTCTATTAAATTGATAGGAAATTTTAGATGACAAGTTTGGCAGGGCACCAAACACAAGCATGGTTTTAGATGGTTTGAATCATCATCAGCAATGTCAATCATCACAATCTTTTTGGATTGGAAATGCTTAAGCCAACAGCATTGGAAAGGAATGCATTATTTGAGCAAGTTAAATCTCGGCACAACTTTTCATCACTGCTGGAAGTTCTTAGACCAACAGCATTGAAAAGGGATACCTTATTTGAGCAAAGTGATTCTCGGTACAACTCGTCATCGCTGTTTCTGCTGCTGCTGCTAACACTCTTTTCTCTCTCGTTTCACTGGCAGATATTAATAGTCTTTTAAGAACACTGTCATAAATTGGCATTTCAGCACAAGATCTAATGTACACTTACCCTTGTTTTGCAAAGTACTTGCACAGCTTACCATTAAAAGGGCCTGGGTTTACTGAAACGATCTTATTACGTATTTCTCAAGCAATTCATATTTGGTGTTCATAAAGAAGTTCTATCTTTTCTTTCAAAACTTCTTGAAACTTAATTTTTACGTTGGCTTTCGTCAGATCGTCTGATATTTGAATGGAACTTGCTGTAAACCTTTTAAAAATAATTGTTCACATAATAATCCTCTGGGTACATCTTCCATGGTGGGACTTGAAAGAATAATTACATCTTTAAGGGTCAACTTTGCATGAAACTTATGGTTTTGACAGGCATCTTGTCCTTAGCATTCTTTGAAGCGCAGAAACGCCTTTTTCGACATTTATTACAATACTTATGGTTGATGTTGAATGATGAAGTGCCAGTTTGAGAGCCATGTGCAATAGCATTAATGCGATGGTTGCTCTTCTCGTGCTTGAGAATTAGTGATTTACTGCGTTTTCAGTAGATTCTCGACTTTCGATGTTAGTTTCATGATTTCTCTCCCGAAAACCAGTTTTTAGCCCCGTTGCACTTGATGAATTGTTTTATCGTAATGAATTAACCTCTTGAACAAGCCTATTTAATACTTTGTTTGCCATTTTATGTCTAAAGTAGCTAGTCTAACATAAAGTATTGTTCCAACGCACTAAACCGTTGACCTTGGTTGGCGTGGGCTAAGTTTGATATTCGAGAATAAGAATTGTAATATTGATGTCAATGTTTTATATTTTTAATAAGCTAAATATCAAGCAAGTGAAAGTATGATGAAAGTTTTTTGTCCACATCGGCGCGCCATGAATTGCCTGTTGTCATCTATTCAAGGAAAGCTGAATATGACTTCGACTCATCAATTTTGCAAACGAACAATTTACTTCTAAAAAATTTCATGAAAAAGTAATCAATAAAAATCAAGATATTATTCAAATACTGGCTTCCAAATATTAATGATATCTCATTCCAGAGAGCAGTACTATCAACTTAGTATAATTTGTATTGCTTTTACATTGTTCGTTTAGCTCATACAGACTTACTGTAATATGTTGGTGAAATCAAACGCGGAAAGCCAATGAACTTATTTTGCTTTCGTATAAAGTAAATGGTTTGAAACCGGGAGTATCGTTACATGTTTGTAAATGTAGATCGTCCAGGTTGATCGTCCAAGTTGGTATAAGTTGATTCTGAAGATGACTACAAGATTGTTGAAACGTCAGTCAACAACAGCAAAAACAGTCCTTCTCAGGACTATACCAACCAGGACGATCTACATTTACAAACTTGCTTTCGAATAGTTGTACGAAATACAATTATAATTTGCGTTGATATACAATGTTACATCAAGTAAAATATGATAAAAAATTAAACTATGAACTAGAAATACAAAATATTTGCGATCACTTGTCATTTACTTTTAAACTCTGTTTGCAATAAAAACAAAATTGTCGGAAGTATACACTTTTCAAGATGGTTGTTAGAAAAAGAACAGCACGGTCTGATGGCCCAGAAAACATCTGTCTATGTAATTATGTTAAGACAAGTAACATAATACAAGTGTCTATAAATGTAGTATAACAAATGTCATAAGAATGACGACATCCTAGACATGTTGGAAAACTGTTTTGATTCACAGCTATAGCAAAATTGATTTTCAGTGAAAAAACCCCCATTAAAATCGTAAGAAATTTTAATGACGTCACTTTCATTGATGCGAGGCTTGTTAGCACAGTCACGTGACATGCAATTTAAATTAAAACATCTGAATAAAAGGAGAAAGGCTTACCTGGCAATAAGACTGAATAAAATTTTCAAATCTTGAACAAGTTTGACTTAAATCATAATAAATATTTAGTTTTGTTTGAACTATGTTCGCTTAATTAACTTCATTTACTATTTATATACTTGACAGACTACCATTATGTACGCATTATGTGCCTTGTTTTGTGCGTACAAGCTAAAAAGATTTTCCCAGAATTCAGGAAGTTTTGTTAAGAAAATGAAAAAAATTATTTTATGATAAAATAAACATCATATCCAACAGTTTTTAATGGGTAATGCAGTTTGCAGTTATTATACATATTTTAGATAATTTGAGAATTCATGATTGTTATAATGTGTATATTTATATTGTAAAAACTTTCTTGGGTTCCCAAAGCTTACAATCCTCCTAAGTGGACTGAGGAGGTTATCCAGGGGTGTATTGCGGGGGCTTAGATACCCATGCTAAAAGATGAGAATATACATATTTCTAAGAGCCCATGCTAAAATTTTGTCTGACAACCTATAAATCATCCTTCCACATACCTTTACTATAACCTGGTTGGTACTTCTCATAGGGTATTTTCTATAATAGAAACCGACTATAGAAACTATCGCAATAGAAACTATCGCAAACAAAATCGCACGGATAGAGTGCTCAATGCTACGGCAGAGCGGTATAATTGAAAATAAAATAAACCACGAATTACTTCATCGAAATTTATTCCCTACATAACTGTTTCTTATGGCAGTTGTTTAACTTTCCACACTCGTCAGGAGAATAAATATAGCACTATAGCACAACGGAACTTATACACAAAGATGAATAGTTAAGTGTTTAGGAGGTATAGTATTACATTAATGACGTTAGTAAGTGTTTATTACGATGGCGGCATGCGGAAATGAGTTCGTTTCGTTTATTGAGCGAGCTGAGTTCTGGGTGGAAGATGATGAAGAATTTCTCCGAGAGGCATAAATTACAGCGTTTGTTTTTGTTTGAGTAAGGTTGAAATTTCTTTACAATTTTCCAGTTGATGGTGTATGGTGTGTTAGAGTCTTTTAGTTTCCATATGTGTTTGCTAAGTTCTGTGGAGTGTTGTTTTGATTAATTTCGGAATGAGCTGGTGTGGTTCAAGTAGCGTGTTTTAAAAGTGTTCTCCGTTTGACCGATGTAGGTTTCTTTGTGTTTGGTTAGTGTGGTGGTGACTGTGGCTTGGTAGACTACCCCTTGTAATCCAGGCATTTAATACATAAAAGATAAAAGATAAATCCCATGATATATAAATAACGCAAACAAAATCGCACGGATAGAGTGCTCAATGCCACGGCAGAGCGGTATAATTGGTTATATATCGTGGTTTATTTTATTTTCAATTGTATATATATATATATATATATATATATTAGTAAGGAGAAGAAAATACACAAAACTACAATTTCATCCCGACAAGCCTGTTTCGTGATTGCTCACTCTTCAGGGATTTAATGAATAAAATACTTAAATGCTTAAATATATATACAAGATGATGACGGAAGCTAGTGTATTAATCAAGGTGTATAGTTTCAAGTTAGATGGCGGAAGTTAGAGTATTAATTACGGTGTATGGTTACAAATTACATAGGAGTGTTTTGGATCTATGGCGACAAGAGGAAATAAGTTCGTTGCGTTTATTGAGGGATGATTTGGATGGTTGGTACAGGATGAAGAATTTTTCTTTAAGGCAAAGGTTGCATCTTTTACTGGTGCTGTTGTATGGTTTGCTGTGTGTAATGATGTTCCATGAGATGTCGTGGTCGATATTGCTGTCTTTAAGGGTCCAAATGTGCTTACTGAGCTCGGTCGAGTTTCGTAGTTTTGTGGCGGAAAGAGGCAGTGTGATTTCTATGTCTAGTCTTAAATTCGTTTTCTGTAAAGTCAATGTACGTCTCAGTTGTGTTATTGTCTTTGCGTTTTACAGTAGCTTGGTAAACAACGGATGACTGCAGGCAATTTCCGTTAAGTGGGCAGTTTTGTTTTGTCGGCAGTTGCATGGTGTCTTTTTTTGTTCGCTTGGTGTTGTCGTTAGTTTTGTCTGATGTTCTCAGTATATGTTTGTTATGGTTGTTGATTATTTGTGATGTTGTTCATGCAGCTGTAGCTGAGTTTGATGGTGTTACGGTTGAATATTTTCCTGAGTTTATGGTCTATGGGGAAGTGTTTGTCGATTAATGAAAGAATTTGTGGCCGATGTTCGTGTAGACGTTTTGCTGAATGGAGGTTGTACCAAAGTATATTTTGTCGAAGTCTGTTTTTCCGTTTGGTAGTAGCGTCTGAGTCGAATTTTAGTGTGTATCGGTATCCGTTTTCGTCGAGTGCTTTTTGGTATGGTGCAGTTATTTCGGCAAATGATGCTTTGTCGGATGATAGTGAAGATAGACGTTTGTTGATGGCGTCGGGTATGTTCTTCGTTATGGTTGGTGGATGGTTGCTTTCGCTGTGGACGTATTGCAGAGAAGAGTTGGGTTTTGTGTAAGGGCGATATGAAAAATTGTTAAGATTGAAGGTGATGTCAGGAAGTTGATGATTTTGTTTTGCTTCAATAGTTATGCGTAGTCCATTGTTGTTGAATATCCGCATATTTCCTTTTAATGTTCTCTGTTTCTCGTGGGTGTGGTGTTTAAAATGGCAAGTCCGTCGTCTCGATAAAGTCCTATGTCTGTTGTGATGTTTTGTAGTTGAAAGGAGGTAGCTTCCTACGAGTTCGCATGTCTCAGCTCCGTCAGAAGCTACCCATTGCTGATGAATAGAGTTATTTTGGGGTTGTTTGTTGTGTATAAAGGAATGAATTCTTGAAATTAATATAATGATGTTTTCCGTTTGTGATGTTGTGTAGGTTGAGGCGAAATAGAGTGCTGTTTAGTAGGTCTTGATTAATGGATGGATAAAGTCTACGATGTCGAAGGATATGAAGGTGACGTTTTTTATGTTTGATAGATTTGAACCACTGGATCACAGATGATGAGTTTTTCCATTGGTTGGCATGAGGTTGTTTTATGATGTTGCTGTTAATTCTGTCCAGTATTTTCTTGCTAATTTTACCAACTTCAGATTTTGTTGGGTTGATAAGTCGGCAGGTTGGTTTATTCGTAAAGTTTGGTTTATGGTCTTTGAGTGTTATGAATGCATTTTTATGGGCAGTGGCTTCCTCTGTCAGATATACCAAGTCGTGATGTGATGTTTTGTCTTCGGTATGGATGGCTTTTATTGTCGGCGTTCGATTTCTTGTATGATTTTGTGATGTTTTGTTCAAAGGTCGTAGTATGCTGGCTTGTCTAGTTTGTAGAAATTTGTTGTTTTGTCGGCAGCGATTAGAAGCTTCGTTTCGTGTTTCATGGTAGTGGTGTTGTCTTTCATTTTGTTAAGACAACTTCAACTACAGCATCAAGAACATTCCTCTACCATCACCGAATGAATACTTACAACGACTTTTTGAAAAAACTGAGACCTTCCTTCGTAATATGCGCTGGAAAGCTTACTTCTTCCTCAACCCGAATACTACCGATTATAAAGATACCTATGGCTTCAAGGTACTAAAACCCTCCACCGATCGACGACCTAAAAGATTTCGAAAGACGAAAAATGATACAATCGATAAAGTTTAAAGACGTAGAACAGCACATTCCTTAACAAAATGAAAGACAACACCTACTACCATCGAATACACGAGTAACAGAAGCTTCTAATCGCTGAAACCGACAAAACAACAACTTTCTACAAACTAGACAAGCCAGCATACTACGACCTCCTTGAACAAAACATCACAAAATCATACAAGAAATCGAACGCCGACACAATAAAAGCCATCCATACCGAAGACAAAACATCACATCACGACTTGGTATATCTGACAGAGTAGAAGCCACTGCCCATAAAATGCATTCATAACACTCAAAGACCATAAACCAAACTTTACGAATAAACCAACCTGCCGACTTATCAACCCAACAAAATCTGAAGTTGGTAAAATTGCAAGAAAATACTGGACAGAATTAACAGCAACATCATAAAACAACCTCATACAACCAATGGAAAACTCATCATCTGTGATCCAGTGGTTCAAATCTATCAAACACAAAAAACGTCACCTTCATATCCTTCGACATCGTAGACTTTATCCATCCATTAATCAAGACCTACTAAACAAAGCACTGTATTTCGCCTCAACCTACGACAACATCACAAACGCCGAAAAAAACATCATTATACACGCTAAGAATTCATTCCTTATACACAACAAACAACCTGGCAAAAACATAACTCTACATTCGACGTCACAATGGGTAGCTTCGACGGAGCTGAGACATGCGAACTCGTAGGAAGCTACCTCCTTTCTCAACTACAAAACATCACAACAGACATAGGACTTTATCGAGACGACGGACTTGCCATTTTAAACACCACACCACGAGAAACAGAGAACATTAAAAAGGAAATATGCCGGATATTCAACAACAATGGACTACGCATAACTATTGAAGCAAACAAAAAAATCATCAACTTCCTAGACATCACCTTCAATCTTAACAATTTTTCATATCGCCCTTACACAAAACCCAACTCTTCTCTGCAATACGTCCACAGCGAAAGCAACCATCCACCAACCATAACGAAGAACATACCCGACGCCATCAACAAACGTCTATCTTCACTATCATCCGACAAAGCATCATTTGCCAAATAACTGCACCATACCAAAAGCACTCGACGAAAACGGATACCGATACACACTAAAATTCGACTCAGACGCTACTACCAAACGGAAAAACAGACTTCGACAAAATATACTTTGGTACAACCCTCCATTCAGCAAAACGTCTACACGAACATCGGCCACAAATTCCTTTCATTAATCGACAAACACTTCCCCATAGACCATAAACTCAGGAAAATATTCAACCGTAACACCATCAAACTCAGCTACAGCTGCATGAACAATATCGAACAAATAATCAACAACCATAACAAACATATACTGAGAACATCAGACAAAACTAACGACAACACCGCGAACAAAAGACACTTACAAAACATGCAACTGCCGACAAAACAAAACTGCCCACTTAACGGAAATTGCCTGCAGTCATCCGTTGTTTACCAAGCTACTGTAAAACGCAAAGACAATAACACAACTGAGACGTACATTGGACTTACAGAAACGAATTTAAGACTAGACATAGAAATCACACTGCCTCTTTCCGCCACAAAACTACGAAACTCGACCGAGCTCAGTAAGCACATTTGGACCCTTAAGACAGCAATATCGACCACGACATCTCATGGAACATCATTACACACAGCAAACCATACAACAGCACCAGTAAAGATGCAACCTTTGCCTTAAAGAAAATTCTTCATCCTGTACCAACCATCAAATCATCCCTCAATAAACGCAACGAACTTATTTCCTCTTGTCGCCATAGATCCAAAACACTCCTATGTAATTTGTAACCATACACCGTAATTAATACTCTAACTTCCGCCATCTAACTTGAAACTATACACCTTGATTAATACACTAGCTTCCGTCATCATCTTGTATATATATTTAAGCATTTAAGTATTTTATTCATTAAATCCCTGAAGAGTGAGCAATCACGAAACAGGCTTGTCGGGATGAAATTGTAGTTTTGTGTATTTTCTTCTCCTTACCAATATTTACGCTCTGCTCTCGGGCATCGAGCACTGTTTTATACGGAAAATCATAAATTATAAACTTCCTATATATATATATATATATATATATATATATATATATATATATATATATAGTAAAAGCTGTGAATAGAAAATTGTGTTTTTCATACTTCTCTCCTTTTTCTCTTTTTTATGTCTTTCTTTTTGGGGATGAAAGTGCACATTTTTAATGTTAGCTATATAAAATTTTCACCTGAATAATAAAATCATACCTTAATTAACATCAGTTGTCATTTGCTTTTTTTCCTTAGAGTATCCAAAATCTGACTTAAAGTTTTTATTCCTGCATCTTTATACGACATTTATAGACCATATTAGAAATTACACTCAATAATTTGCACATGTTGAAGTTACGCATTTGGTGTGTGGCATCATTAGTCCCAGTACCAATATTCGCATAAATACAAACTTTCTGACCATTCCATTTTATATATTTATGAATTGACATTACATCACGGCTAGGTTCTCCATCAAGCCTCAATGATCAAGCCTCCATGTACACGCAATACCCTTGCCATCTCTTTTTGTCGCTTGAAAGTAATCAGGCCATCTTTAGTGAATCCAATTTCTCTATCCATAGAATTAGACCATAATCAAAAAAGTCTTGGAGAGGTAATTCTATGTATAAAGTTCGATAATAAATTACCTTTATGTTCAGCTTAACATTTTGTTATAAGACATTTTCTGGTCAATAGACATTTTCTGGTCATTTTCTGGACATTTTCTGGTCAAAGTCTTGGAGAAGTAAATTCTATGTATAAAGTTCGATAATAAATTACCTTTATGTTCAGCTTAACATTTTGTTATAAGACATTTTCTGGTCAATAGCATCTTCAAAATGTCTTTATAGTTGCATATAAGTAGTCTTGGTACTTCTATTTCAGGTATACTTCGATACCTGATCTTTTCTTCACAGTACCAGAAAATAAATCAAAACAAAACTCCACTTTGTAGCTACTGTTTTGGGTGAACGCTTCTTTGCGTTGTGTATTAACCGAGTAGAATGTGGAGGGTGTTTTGCGTCGGAAATTTATTTTGCGAATAGATGAGTAATTGTACCATTTTCTACATCGACAGTTAAGCAGAAAAAATTGATGGGTTCTGGAAACAAAAACTGGAGACCTGTTTTTGTTTCTGGAAAACTGTTTTTTTTAGTTAATGAAACAGAGACTTTGTCGTGGTGACAAACTTAAAGATGGATTTCAAGATAGCAAATACCATGGTGAATGGTGATAATAACAATGTAATAATTCTTAAAAGAACTGTTTTAACCAGAACACTAACCCAACAATTCAAAGGAACCGTTATTTACAGCTAGAAAGAGACACTATGCATTTCGGCAGACATATCGTCAGGTGTCAACGTCTGCTAAATGAGAACCTCCAAACCATGCTATATTTATAACGTTACAAAAGGTCAATGTCATCCCTATTTTTAGAGATGACATTTAAAACAGAGACAGATTAAACACGTAATCCTTTTGTCGGACATGTCTGAGAATGCCTTTAGAGAATTAATGATGGCTGCCACAAAGGCGTAGAGTTTAGTTTTGATGTCAACATGTATAAACAAATTGACGGGGTGGCTATGGGTTCTCCACTTAGACCGGTTCTTGCGAATATTTTTGTTGGCTATCATGAATGCAAAATGCTTGCATCTTCAGATTGTCCGGATGTGCTGTGGTATAAGCGTTATGTGGATGACACCTTTTCTTTGTTTCATAACGATAAAAATCGTGAACTTTTTGTTAATAAACTTTGCTCTCTTCATCCTGCACTAAATTACACATCTCAACTAGAGTCAAGCAATCAATTAGCTTTCTTAGATGTTCTTGTACACAAACGCAATGGTCAGTTCTTAACAAGCATTCATCCCAAGGCAACTTTCACTGGTTTGTACACACGCTTTGCCTCTTTCTCTTCGCATAGAGAAAAGATTTCTTTAGTGAAGTATTTGATAAAGCGAACGCATAGATTGTCCTCAAAAGAGTTTATTGATAGTGATCTTATCTCACTGTAGAATATTTTTGTGTTAGATATACGGAGAAGTTGAATTGAATTGTTGCGTTAGTGTTCTGGTTAAAACAGTTCTTTTAAGAACTATTATATTGTTATTATCACCATTCACCATGGTATTTGCTATTTTGGAATCCATCTTTATGTTTTTTAGTATTCAAATCATTCTTTTATAATGCGGTCTTACGGATTTTATGGCTTTTTAAGATTGATTGCTTTCAATCAAAACAAAACGAGCAATTATCTCATATTACTCAAGCTGATATTCAACAGTTGAGCAACTGAAGTGTAGAACTTATCGTAGAAATCCCAAAACTTCATCTTCTTTGTTTTTTAAGAAGATCTTTACATAACTAACTAGACTTCAATAGACATAGACACCGGAGGGACATCGAGAATATTATTTTTTCTGCAAAGCAGTAATTTCAGCGTTTTTAGTCATTTCTCTAAAGCATGCATTGAAAAATGTGTTAAGGTATCTTCCTTATTGATTGTTCTTCGTGTACCACCTGTTTTGAAGCGTTCTATTCAATTTGAGCGTAATGTCGTAGAGCCCTTGTTTGCAAGAATACTTTTTGCTCTAGCAAACTTTATTTTATGGAATAAATTCTCTCATGTTGTTTCGTACTATAAGCGTTCTGCCACTGTAAGCACATAGTTGCAATAAAAGTAAAATCAAAAACAATCAGTATTCCATAGCAAGCTTAATAAATGAGTCGCATTTGTACAATAATTTTATAAATTGTATAACAAAGGAAATTTTGAATTTTTTAGCACACGGAAAACTGGTGGAACTTCGCTTATTCAACAAACCATCGAGGTAAGTCAAAATTTTAATTATTATATAACCAAATATCAATAATTAAATTGGAAAAGATCAAAATGAATTATGTCTAATCACCACTTTGCGAATAGGAAGCACGTGTAGTATTTTGCATGTCACGAGATACAAACTGTAAGCAGTACGTACATTGTAGTTAACTCCACATTATAACAGCTTCATCATATATTCCTATACGGCGTTACTGTCTGTGTTTGAAAAATTTCGAACTTTTTAAGTGTTCTTTTGGAAGTTTTATGATGCAATTGATTGATTGATTGATTAAACTTTATTAAAAAGAGGGTAACACGTGACACAACAAGTGTGAAAAACTTGTGGCCCTCAAGTTTCTAAATCATTTATAAATAACAGTGGTTCTGTTAGTGATATATGTGGTTTCTATAGTCAATGAAATCGACGGTAAAAATGTGAACAGACGAATCAATTGTCCGAAACTATGGCTCAAGCCTGATGTGTTTGTTGTATTTGTTTCAAC